AAAAAAAAAAAAAAAAAAAAAAATCCTTCACTAGCAAGCAGACACCATTGGAAAAACAACAAGTTTCCATGCAGAGAGAAAAGATATTTACCATCTTCAGCACTAAGAGCTAATTCTTCCTTTGGGTTATTTTTTTTTCCTGTATCTGTGCAGGGAAAAAAGTAACACACAGTTAGAAACGTTGCTGTTCTGTATGATATAAACGGATGGCAGTGGTAGTGACAAAATTAAGAGTTATGTGGACAAAAAAACCCCAAACAAACCAGTAGAGCCAGGAGAATGGTTAAATTCAAGAGCTGCTTTTCACTTCACACACTACTGCAAGCCTACACCCAAACAGCAGCCTCAGTTTCTTGTCAGTTGCTGTTGCAACAATGTTAGTGCAGACCTAAAACCTAGAAACCAGTTAGAAGCAACAGTGTTAAGTGGGATTAGAAGAGTCATTTGCCAACAGTAGCCAACATCTTTCAAAATCTGCACCTCCACACCTCCCTTTGCAAATGTAAGTTCAGTTTATGTCTGAACAGGGGGAAGGGAGACAGGAATAATAATAATAAAATAAAATTTTAAACCCCAAACCTAACAAAGGAGGCTACAGAGGGATGCCAGGAATGAACAGTTTTGGAGTGGGTCCAGGGAAGGACAACGAAGCTGGTGAGGGGTCTGGAGAACAAGTCTGATGAGGAGAGGCTGAGGGAGCTGGGGGTGTTCAGCCTGGAGAAGAGGAGGCTGAGGGGAGACCTTATCGCTCTCTACAACTCCCTGAAAGGAGGGTTTAGAGAGATGGGGTTGGTCTCTTCTCCCAAGTCACAGGAGATAGGACAAGAGGAAATGGCCTCTAGTTCACCAGGGGAGGTTCAGATTGGATATTAGGAAACATTTTGACACTGAAAGGGTTATTAAGCCTTGGAATGGGCTGCCCAGGGAAGGGGTTGAGGCACCATCCCTGGAGGTGTTCAAAAGCTGGGCTGACATAGAGCTTAGTGACATGATTTAGTGATGTTTTGGGGTTTTTTTTAATCAGAGTTAGGTTGCTGGTTGGACTAGATGACCTTAAAGGTCCCTTTCAACCTAGACAATTCTATGAATCTATGAATTTTAAGTACAGTCTCATCTCACTGTGTTCTCTCAAAGTGAGTGGTACATTAACTGCAGGAATCCACAGGTGAAACACTGCTACACTATGATGATTTTTTTTTTTTTTTCATACTTCCACCCTCTACTAATCTGACCCAAGTGAGCAGCCAGGAGACAGGGGCAGTTGCTGCTCATTACTGGTTTGGGGAGGTGCCAATACTTTCACTATTTGAAAAACTGGCCAAATCGCTGATGAACCCAGTGCGTTTCTGGAAGATGTCTGCTTCATAAACTAGTGTTGTTTCGAAATTAACATGAAGAACTAAAAACTAAATTGTAAGAGAAAAGAATTCAGTTTTAGAGTACGAGCTCCATACAGCTTATTGAGAAGCAAAGACAAAACCACTACTTGGCAAAGCTGTAGAAAAACCAGCACGAACACGTTTAAGCCAAACTGGGGGGTCATGGGAGACACACACAAGCTTTGTGCTCACTTGAGGTGGCTGATGGAATGTCCTCTAGACTTTTGGAAGGCATTTTCCTATCTGCACTCCTTTTCAAAGCCATCAAAACAGGGTTTAATTCTTCTTCTGAACCTGTTACGAGACAAAAGAGATGAACACTGCACACACGGACGTGCCATTTCAACAGAGTCCCTAAAAAAACAACCACGGATTTCTCATGACAATCTGTTTTGAGTGACAGCAAAGACAGTGAGTATTCAATGAAAATACAAATAAAACCAAAATAAACAAAATAATTGTCTAATTTTAAGTGTCCATTTGCTCTCTAAATTCTCTCAGCCACCAGTAGAGAGGCACAGGTTGGTGGATTTGCCCTGTGTAACCCTCTTGTCAGATCAGCACACAAAAAAAAGTGAATAGCTTTAGTTCTTCCTTCTGTGTAAATTTGACCATTACATTCTCTCCCCAGTGAAATTAATTTTCTTTCAATCCTTGAGTAACAACCACAAAAAAAAACCCCAACAAACCCATCTGTGGAGATATCTGGATCCCTGAGATGATGCAAATTGTCTCCAAGGGCAGAGTCAAGACAGACGTAGCTCCTTCAGAAACCTTTAAGACCCTCTCTCCTCCCTACCTCACTTTCCTCCCTGTCAGCCAACAAACGGGCCTTACGGTGCTGCTGTCTGTAATTAAGGGTAAAAACAAATTATGTTCCATTTTTCCTCATTTCTCTTGAGTTTTCGCTGACTTCCATTGAAATGTTACTTTCAAAACAGGCTCAAGAGCAAGTTGGCAGGTCCTGGAACCTTCCCCTTATTTCTCAGATTCTCTAGGTGAGGAAAACACCCTGGAGAATCTCAGCAGCAGATTAAAAAGGTTAAATTATCTCCTCTGCTTCCAGCTCTTCCATGACTGTCCCACACTACGCGCTGACTGGAGCTGCCGTTCAACCAAATAATGAGAATCTCATTAAAAAAACCACTTCGTTAGGGCCACTTCCTAGAGCTCCAGGCAGCATCGCTGAATTAAACAGCGCAGAGCATTGGTGTGGTCTTTACATCCAGCCATTCCACTGGTATTTCCCTTCCAAGAATTGCTGCTCAAACTAAAAAATGAACTGTCAGCCACCGATTTATTTATTTTTTTTCCTCTTTTAATCCAAGATATTGAAAAGAAATACCAGGTGTTGATTGTTACAGTGTTATTAATTTGAAGACCGTATCACAGGGGAGGAAGAAAAGGGTAAACCATGAAGACTGATCCAACTGATTCACGCTGCTCATCTCCTCTTCCCAAAAAGGCTCACTCAAGCACGTGTTTGTCAAACACTTCACAATTACAGGACTTAATTAGTTCTTCCCACCTTTCCCAAACAAATATCCAAAGCGGTTCATTAAGAAATAAGTATCACACAGACTTTAGGTTAACATAGTTCAAGTTGGCTACCAAAAAAAAAAAAAAAAAAATATTGTAGCCATATTTAACAACCCAGCACCACGAATGTTAGAAATCAAACTGCTCACGAGTTGAACTTCCAGAGTGGGAATCGGAGTTTTCATCTGAAAATTTGGATCCCAAATTTGAGCCGCCCCCTTCTTCTTCAGCATTGTCCTCACGCTGAGACATTTGGCAGAGTTGAGCTCCTTCTGGCTGAGGGGAGTCGCTCCCACCTTTAAGGGGTGTGCTTTCTCTCCTGAATTTCAACACTGCTGTAAATTCGGAATTATTTTGGGGGGCATCCAGGGATGTGCTTTCACCTCTCCTTTCTTTTTCATTTATCTTGCATGGCTCCACTGCAATCGTACTGGTCTCTCCTTCCAAGGGAGGGAGATCAACTGGGGCCATGTTTCTATCTTGTATTTCACTAATAGCTCCATCTCTTTTAGGAAGATCAGGAGCTTCAATTTCAGTTCCTACAAGATCATTTACTGAAGTTTTGATATTTTGTTCTGGAGCTCCCCCTCTGCCAGCTACCCTCACCTCTGTGTGTTTATGTGACTCTTTGGATATTGGACACAAAATTTCAGATGCTTCTTGAAAAAGTTTTTCTGAAGAGCTACTGAATTCACTGAATTTCACAATATTTGAAACAGAAGTTCTTTCTATTGTTTCTTCTACTTCTTGAGGATGACCTCTCTCTTGTTGATGTGGACCATGCATGCTTGGACTAGGATGTATTTTACCTTGCATTTTCTTATCCGTATTGTCCACCACAGAAGCTGGTGTTTCAGAGACCTCTTTTGGTAGCATCTGCAAATTAACATCAAACACTCCATATTCAGCCTTTGAAAACGCAGACCTTACTGTGGTCTCTCTGCATTCCTGTGGCAGCTCCCCATCATGCTCGTAGGTCGTGTGTTTAACCTCCACCTCGACAGTTCTCTGTATCATACTAACAGCACGTTTTGGTTTAGGAGGTGGTGTTCCAGATGCCTCCTCCAGCAGCTTCTCTAAAGCAGAACTCAAGCTATTGACCTTGGACGGGGCAACAGACTTTTCTACGGTCTCTCCGATTTCCTGCCGCAAGTCTCCATCATGCCCATAGATCGTGCTTTCAACTTCCATCTCCGCAGTCCTCCGTACTGTGCTGTCTGCACGCTTTGGTTCAGGAGGTGGAGTTCCAGATGCCTCCTCCAGCAGCTTCTCTAAAGTAGAACTCAAGCTATTGACCTTGGATGGGGCAACAGACTTTTCTACGGTCTCTCTGATTTCCTGCAACAAATCTCCATCATCCTCACCGGTCGTGCTTTCAACTTCCATCTCCGCAGTCCTCCATACTGTGCTGTCAGCATGCTTTGGTTTAGGAGGTGGCATTTCAGAGGTCCCCTTCATAAGCTTCTTTAAAGTAGAACTCAAGCTACTGACCTTGGACGGGGCAAAAGACTTTTCTATGGCCTCTCTGATTTCCTGCGGCAGCTCTTCATCATCCTCATCGGTTGTGCTTTCAAGTTCCACCTCGGCAGTTCTCTGTACTGTACTAATGACACGCTTGGGTTTAGGAGGTGGTGTTTCAGATGCCTCCTCCAGCAGCTTCTCTAAAGCGGAGCTCAAGCTATTGACCTTGGTTGGTGCAATAGACTTTCCTATGGTCTCTCTGATTTCCTGTGGCAACTCTCCATCATCCTCATAGGTCGTGCTTTCAACTTCCACCTCGGCAGTTCTCTGTACTGTACTAATGACACGCTTGGGTTTAGGAGGTGGTGTTTCAGATGCCTCCTCCAGCAGCTTCTCTAAAGCAGAACTCAAGCTATTGACCTTGGATGGGGCAACAGACTTTTCTATGGCCTCCCTGATTTCCTGCGGCAGCTCTCCATCATCCTCATCAGTCGTGCTTTCAACTTCCATCTCAGCAGTCCCCTGTACTGTGCTGTCAGCACGCTTTAGTTTAGGAGGTGGCATTTCAGATGCCTCCTCCAGCAGCTTCTCTAAAGCAGAACTCAAGCCACTAACCTTGGATGGGGCAACAAACTTTTCTATGGTCTCATTGACCTCTTCAGGCTGACCAGTATCTTCTTGGTGTGTTGACTCTGTGCTACAATTAGTTTGTGATACACTATTTGTGTCACCAGATGTTTCCATTCCCACCTTTCTATATTCAGATGGTTGAGATGCACAGGTTTCTCTGAGCAGGTTCTGCAAACCAGCTTGAGGCCACTGAGAACCCCCAAGAGCATCATCCTTGTCTGCTGCCTGATATCGTAGGCAGAAAGGTTCAAATTCCCTAAACAGTCTCCTGAGGCTTTTTTTGTTTTCATGCTCATCTGCTGATGGCCCATTCACTTTTCCTGTGCTTTCGCTTATTTCTTCTGTTTGATCAGCAAGAGAAACATCGTGGCTCTCTTCTACTCTTCTTTCAGAGACCTTGCACTGATTTGAGTCAAGAGTTGTCTCTTTCAAAATGTTTTCTTTTAGGTTCAAGCTAGATGACATCTCAGAGGCTTCCTTTTCTAACTTCTTTAGGCCTAATTTAAATACATCAAGCTCAGCTTTAGGTAGAACCACCTTATCCACAGTCTCTGCAACTTCCTCTTTAGGAAGATTGACATCTAACAGAGGAGTCTTGTTCTCCACTTTTTCTATAGGTAAACGTAGACAATCATCTGCTGTTGTTTCCTTTAAAGCATCTTTATCATCAGGCGAGTGGAGCAACTGCAAGGAATCATTACGTTCTTTTGATGAAACCATACCTTTTTCTACACATGCTTTAACTTCTTGCTCTGGAAGACCCATCTTTTCCTGGAGTTTTGAGGTAACTGCTTTTCTGTCCAGCTGGACAGAGTCTGTGTTTTTTGTGTGCACCACATCAAGACCTTTCAGGGTAGGAGATCCTAGAGGCAGGTCACAAACCACAGAATCCAGGTTCTGGTTCTTTTCTCTCTCTGATGTTTGGGTTTGTTGTTGAACTAACTCTTGCTTGCTCACATTATCTCTGCCTTTTTTATCTTCCTTTGATTTTCTGTCATAGGTTATTGAACCAGTATTATGTGGCAAAGAAGCATCTGCCCTGTCAATGTTACTCTGTGATTTAACTCCAGTATCCCAGAAGTTTCTCAAATTCTGGAACTGTGAAGGACTTGAAATTTGATTCTTGGACTTTTCATTCATTTTTTCTTTTGAAGACAAAACCTGGAAGCTGGGCTTCTGTTGAGAACAAGCAGCAACATTTCCTTTGAGTGTTTCTTTCTCATCCTTGTCTTTGCTTCCTGGGGAAGCTGAAGTGGCACCAACACTTGGCTGCAAGTTATGGGTTTTTGGCAACTGTGTATATTCATCAACTTCACCATCAGGTGGAAGTGTTCCTTCTGGCTTTTCAACTGCACGGCCTGGTCCAAACTCAGAAGAGTTTTGATGTTCATTTCTGAAAGCCTGGCCTGAAGAAGTTAGTTCAGCACTTCTTAACGTATTCTTGCTTTGATCATCCAATCCCTGAGGTAAGTATATGGCAGCTGGTTTTATTTTATCACTTTCTCTGAGACCTTTCAATGCACTTCCACCCGAGGCATTAGTATCAGTACTAACTTCTTTCTCTCCATGACTGGGGACAGTTTTATGCCCTTCCCAGAATGCTCTGATCTCCCTTATTCTTCTTTTTTCTCGCATTGCCTTCTCCGATTCATATTTCTGAGCTGGTACCTTTTGTTCCTGATGTTCCAAGGGATCTGATTTTTCATTTTGTTTCTCGATTTCTTGACCATGTTCTTTTTCTTCACCTCTTGGACAGTCAAATTCAGTTCGTGATTCGTCATTTTGCTCCTCATTCTCTTCCTCAGGTTTCATCCTCTCTTTTATCAGTTGTTTATCTTTTGAAATAAGTGATGTAGATGAACTACTCTTCCGTTGCTTCATCTTTCCAACCGGTAACTCTTCTTTACCTTCTGGTTTTCCATCTGTCTTAGGCCCACAGTGTTCTGCAGGAACATCCACTGTCCTGGTTGAGAAGTCCAGTTCCTCGTTAGGTTCCCTGCCTTGGGATCGAGCCGATACACTTTTCCTATCTTCAGTACCAGAACTTCTTTTAAACCAATCTAAGACTTTTGATACAGATTCATTGGCCACTTCCATGAGTTCATCAGCATATTTGTCAGGCTTCAAACTGGTTTTAGCATCTCGCTGCTCAACAAGATCAGGCTTACCTTGTTGAAGGCTTGTAGAATTGGTATTTGGCACCTCATGTGCTTCTGTCTTAGAAGAAAGCTGATGGTCATCTACAACACAAACAAACTTATCAGAGTTGGGAATCAGCACACGACTCTACAAATGTTCAATCTATCTTGGAAAATCCCTCAGATTATTTTTTTTTAAACTGTTAGCAGAGAAAAGAGTTCCTCTGTCCTTGTGTTTTTGGAAAAAAATCATACTGCAGGCAATAGAGTGAAAAATAAATTCCTGCACAGGAATTTACATCCTACTGTAATATTAATCATATTACCTCTGAGGGTGTGAGCAGGTACGATTGGTTATCCCCACTCTAAAGGAAATGGCTACATTGAAGGGGGAGCCAGGCTGGGGCAGGGGGGGAAGAGGGGGACAACCCAGCATATTTGTGTTTAGCCCCAAGAGACAACTGGATTACTACCAAGGACAGTCCATAGCAGTACACCAAAAATTCTTCAGTTTCTATGCAGACACATCTACCAGGCCTCGTGACAGGAATTTTATCCTAATGCCATCACTTCACCTCCATCATCCACGATAAAGGTGCCTATCCAGGCTCTGAGCTGATTGTTAAGATTACCAATAGAAGATCATCTGAAAAATATTGCCTACATGAGAGCATTAAAATACAAAAAAGTGATTTAGAATTTAATTCTGCCATACGTAGCACATTCCTACTATTTCTGTTCCTAGTTGTTAACTCTCAGATACAAGTGATTTAACCATTAATGACTATGAGGTATATGCTTTTGCATTCTGTTCTTCTCTTCTATTAGTCTCTTACCAGTAACGTTTTTGTCTGACTTTGATTCACGGCTCAAGAACTGGGTGGCTTTATTTTCACGTGTCTCATCAACACGCAGTTCGTTATTGCTGTTTGGCAGGATGGTGCTGGAGGTCTTCTGTGGAGTTTCAAGTTCCTTAGGAGTACCTCTCTTTGCCTGCAAGGCTTCGTTAACCAGCAAGTCTGACCTATTAGTGTCACAAGGACTAGATGCCGATGTATCTTGAAATCCATCTGTTGTTTTCACTTGTAAAGAGGATGAATCAGTTCCTAAAGCCTTTACAGCAGAAATTTGCTTATTCCCAGATGAATCTGATCTAATAGCATCCTTTTCACTACTCTTTATTTTGTCAGATTTTAATGAATCAAACTCTCCTCCTTCTCTACCATGGTGTGGCTGTGGGCTTTGCAGAGGTTCTCCTTTACCTGTGCTAGATGAGAACCTCACTTGTTTTAGTTTTTCCAGTGAAATTTGTGTGGACTCTTCCGCGTCTTCCATAGGAGAGCTCTTCTCGGCTTCTCCTTCAAAAATAGTTGCAGTAGGAAGAGCATTCTTTTTCTGAACATCTAACATCTGACTAACACGAACTTCTGAGTCAGTGGAACTGGAGCTTGAGCTGCGTTTCAGAATGCCCCTGGGGGGTGTGCCAGTGCCATTAACCCTCTCTGTCCGTTTGGCTGGTTTGGGAACAAAGTCTTCTCTTTCTGACACGGGATCTGTTGCTTTGTGAATTAATTTTCTAGCTTTCGGGACAGGACGCTTAGCCAGTCCTTTCTGTGATTCATCAGTGGGTTCTACAGAAGGCTTCTTATGTCTCTCCGTTTCATCGTTTTGTAAGTTGGGTTTAGGGTGGCTCTCTTCCGAGTGTGATGGAATTTCTGTAAGACACACACAGAGAAGAAATCATGAGTTTAGATGACATTCATCTGCATAACCAGAGGAGCATAACAGTGTAGAACTAGAATTCAGCGATTATATTGATCTATTAGAAACATCTGCAGTAAAACCCAGGTGGAAATTCAAATTCAACATAGGTGTGGATTTCCTATGTACGTAATAGGAAGTTTTAGCCGGCAAAAATCCTGCAGATATTTCTTATTCTAGAAATATTAACTATTAAATGACACTAAAGACAGAGAACACACCAAATTTTTGATCAGCATTATTCCTGCAAGGGACAAAGTTTACAGGGAAGGGCAGCTTTTGAACATGAATACACCTCCTCAGGTTCAGAATAAGCAGCAACTTACAAACATGGAAACGGGCTATTAGACCTCATCACTCTCTACAACTACTTGAAAGGACACTGTAGAGAGGTTGGGGCTGGTCTCTTCTCACAGGTAATTAGTGACAGAACGAGAGGGAACGGCTTCAAGCTCCAACAGGGTAGGTTTAGACTGAACATTAGGAAAGAATTTTTCACTGAAAGAGTGATAGGGCATTGGAATAGGCTGCCCAGGGAGGGGGTGGAGTCACCATCCCTGGCTGTGTTTAAGGGCCGTTTAGATGCAGTGCTAAGGGACATGGTGTAGGGGAGGACTTTGTAGAGTAGGGTAGATGGTTGGCCTCGATGATCCCAAGGGTCTCTTCCAACCTGAACGATTCTATGATTCTATTTCCACATTCATATAGAACAAAGTAAAATGCAGACGTGACCTTCCAAGAGGGAGATGAAATTTTTATTTTAATATTTCTAATGTGCACGTCTTCCTTTTTCCTGTTAGCAAGCTTCATAACAGAGACAGGAGAGTAATTTCCACCTATGAGCCTTTAAATTACAACTTGAAATGCCCGCACGGTGCTACATCATCACTCGGCTACTTGCTCGCAGAGAACGCTGCAGGAAAGGGAGGATTCGAAAATAAACGGGACTGAGAAAACAAAGGGAAAAGTAAAGATCAAAGACAATTAGGCTGCTTCTGTTGAGCCAATAGCAGCAATGTCTGGAAGGTCATAAAGACAGCTATGCCAAATCCAAGGAAATTCCTCAGTTAACAGGGATTCAGGACAAGGAACCCTCTCAGATGGAGCACTTAATGCTGCCTAGAACTAAAAGAGAGGAATCAAACCCCATTTACTCACATAAACAGCCATTTCCTGAGTATATTTACATGTTTACCTGGGTTTTCAAATTAAGTAGCTGATAACTCCAAGTAGCTAGGGTAAAATAGGATTTGATGTCTTACAAAAAGAAGCAATGAAAGTAAAAATCATTTCCATATAAAACACCAAGAAATTGAGTCATATGCTAAATAAGTATATTTACCCTTCTGTGATAGCTGAGGTAGAGTGGCTTGTCTGTTTTCTGACTCACTGCTGTTCAAGTTATCACCCGGTGCAGTGGAATTAAATGGATTTCTCCTTGGCTAAAAAAAGGAATGAACATTATAATTGCAGTCAAATTGTTCTATCAGTCCAGTGTTCTATCCCTCTTGACGAAATAAATGAAAGCGCGGTGATCTGCTCTGCCTCGTTATCCCGTCAGCAGAGTCTGAAAGCACACCCCAAACTGGGATACGTGACAAAAGAACCTAAACAGTGTGAACCAGGGAACTATCAGAAGTGCTAGTCACAGCCTCCTCTTGTTCTTTTTGAAGCAGAGATAAGCCATGACTTCAGGACACTTGAAAATCCCAAGTGGTTGCAAGTTAAATAATTTTATCTCTAAACCTGACTTTAGAGATATTGGGACACAGCAGGACAATCCTTTTCAGGGAAGAGGTTGGAAATCAGGTCAAGCACAGATGCCCCCTGGGGTTGTTCAGCCTGGAGGAAAGAAGGCTCCAGGGAGACCTTATAACAGCCTTCCAGTATCTGAAGGGGCCCTACAGGAGAGCTGGAGAGGGACTTTTCATCAGGGAGTGTAGTGACAGGACAAGGGGTAATGGTTTTAAATTGGAAGAGGGGAGATTTAGATGAGATACTAGGAAGAAATTATTTACTGCGAGGGTGGTGAGGCACTGGAACAGGTTGCCCAGAGAAGCTGTGGCTGCCCCATCCCTGGAAGTGTTCAAGGCCAGGCTGGATGGGGCTTTGAGCAACCTGGTCTGGTGGGAGGTGTCCCTGACCAGGGCAGGGGGGTTGGAACTCCATGATCTTTAAGGTCCATTCCAACCCAAACCATTCTATGATTATAGCTGTAACAGCACTTTAATGCTGAATTTTCATTGGTTTCCATTACCTCCCTCCAAAATTTAAAAATACTCATTTTTTTTCCAACTTATCATCTTTCTTTCTCAAATCTTTAATTGTCTTTACCACAGAAGCAAAGAAACACACAAGATGTAAAAGAACTGCTATATTCAATCCCAGTCATACCTTTGCTGGTGAGACTGATGCCTTCATAGGTCTTTCCTCTGGTTTGTCCAACAAAGAGGTTATTGTTTTAGAACTGCAAAGGAAAAGCATACAATAACTTCAGCAATCAGAACATTAGTTTAAGGCTTTTTTTTTTAAAAAGGAAAAAGACTCATTTATACACACTCAAATATAATCTCTTGGCATCTCAAGTTTTCTATTTTAGCCTGTATCTCATCAGATTTAGAAGTAAATCTTCTCTTTTCCATGGAAAGGGGATATTCTTGCTGCCTTGTTTCACTGCAAAAAAATTCTTTGCTTGTTAAAGAATTCAATAAAACTTCTACTTGGCATGAGAGAAACCGTATTTTTTTATATCTTTTAGATGTTTGAGCCAGCTTTATGTAAATATAGCCACTCTCCAAACAATATCAGTGCTACCATCTCCACCCTTGTCCTACAATTATACTTCTAGGCCTGAAATCAAAGAGGGGGAAAGTGCCAAAATCTGATAAAAATAGTTTTGTAAAGTGTCCAAGTCAAAAAAAAAAAAAAAAAATATCAGAGGAACCCCATCCCCGCTACAGCAAAGATGTGACACACCACAGAGGACAACACATCCCCCCAGAGGTACAGCTTGTAAACCACTCACTGAATTAAGATCCATAAAATCTGTGGTTTCATAGCAAAAATGAAGCAAGTTATTACTTGTAATCCTGGCTAAATGTAGCCCAAAGGAGGAGAAATTAAAATAGCTAGAAGACACAGCTCCTACATTAGATCAAAACATATTTCATCTATTTGCAGAATACTGCAAGGGTTTTTTTTCCAAAGCAATCAGATTTTTAGAATTTATCTAAGCATCTCAGATATGAAAAAGTGCTTATTTTTTGAAGATGGAAGTTAGATGTGATTTAAATATAGTTCACGCAACAGCCACACTCAGTATCTTAACTTTGTATAGAAAATGCTGGCATTAACCAGTTTATGAGCTTATGATTTTGGGGATGGGGGAAACAGTACAAGGCAGAGAAAAATGAATATTCTCCAGGTAGGAAGTCAGATCTCAGGTTAGGAAGGAAAGCAACTCCTACAACTTTTTTCCAATATAGATGTACAAGGAGATTCCAATACCGAATATTTCTTTGGTCTATCTTTTGTATGGGTGAAAAAACTGTCAGATTGGTAAGTAGCAGGGCCATAAGACAATGCTTTTGAGGGCAGATGTGGTACCTGAGGACAAAAAACCCCAGCTTCCAGTTCTCCAAAGTTCCAGGTTCAAACTGGAGCTTCCCCACCTTCTCCAGAGAGCAGGACAGTTAACCTCAAGGGGTAGGAAAAAAGTCTGGCAGCCACCATTGAAAGGCTACTGGCCTCTGGACTGCTAAGTGTGTCTGAGAAGTTACATTATTCCCATATTATAAATGGAAAAACATCATTACAGAGAAGGTAAAATGACACAATAAGGAGCAGCATGAACATAAGGCTAGGAAAAAAAATACTAGTTCATCTGAGCTATAAACTTCTATATCTCTTCCTTGCTCTTTTGGTTCAACACTACCTTTAAGAAACACAGCACCACGCGTAGCAATACACACGTGGTACGTGCTGGTCTTGTGATGGAAACTATCTCATGGGTGAAAAAATAAACTGTTCTTACATTTCAACACTAACTGCAGTCTTTCATACGCATAAATTAGGTGTGACAGTATTATTGTTCTTTATATTCTTTAATAATAATAAGGAAAAAAGTATTTTTCCAGTTCTCTAAGAACTCAATATTGCAACTTTAAATTTCTTTAAAACAATATCATCAATATCATTCCACATTACAGTTTTTAACCTTAGTTCTAATACTTTAAAAAAAAAATCTGAAAGGACGTATATTTAAAGAATCTTTGTTCTGCTGGAGTTTATGTTCTTGCTTTTATAAGCACTTGAGTTTTTCTTTCTGTTTTTATAAGCGCTTGCGTGCTCCTGCAGCACTTTGTGTCTCACCTACACCATCTGCTACTCAACAGGACAAATATGACTTTTCTCTCCTTTTTTTTTAAAAAAAAAAAAAAAAAAGGGATCTAGGTTATGAATGTTTCAACCCTCCCATCATTTTAAACAAGGGAAATACTGTTATGTATCCTGGGCTGCAAGAAACTGGTAAGACATTCTTCAGTCTGCAGTTTTTACAGATTGGGAGGTAACATTTTTAGGTGTCACTGAACACACACACACACACAATCCCACAATATTTTAATGCAATGCCACTTCGGACTTACCATAGCAAATTAATTTGGCATTACATACAGAAAACCCTGCTCTAAAGAAAACAAGGTAGAGGAAAAAAAACGCGCTCCCAGGATCCTATAACTAAGTTTCACAACAGAGGATCTGAAAATATGAGTTTACTCTCAACCCAAAAAGAAATCTGAGCAAACAGTTCCCAGCTACACCACGTTCACAAGGCCAATCCAAGAGAGTGTGTGAAGCCAAACTGATAAATACACCCAGACTAAACACCTCAAACAAATAAGCTTTCCTGGGCTCGTCCTGAAGGGTAGAGAAGCTGGTGTGAGGAAAGCTAGTGCAATTTAACAGTACTCCATAAAAATATCCTTATCTAGGTATGCCAGCACCCCTATTATTCCAGAAAAGTCATAGGGATTTTAAGAATTAGTGTTTTTGTACAAATTTTCACCTCGCAGAACTCTAGACCCCACACTTGTCCCCTGTTCAATGCAGGGCAAGAATATTTTCTAGGCCAGAGAAGAAAACAGCCTACAAACCTCAATTTGAAACATAAAACCCCCTTTAACATTGTTCTTTTTTGAGATTCAGCAAATAGACAGATGGTATCACTGAAGAGAAGTAATATTGACAGTCTGAGTCACCCTATGAAAACTCCTGTGCCAGGTCACACCTTCAGAGACACTTCACACACCTGGTCTGTAAAGGCTCCGGTACGCAAGGAAAGCGCCACGGTGATATAACACCCAAGAGAAAAAAAAAACTGTTCATAGCTTAATTACTGAATTTAGATATTTGGGGTGTGAGGATGAAGATCACTAGGCTAATTTTAAGAATATAGCAGTGGGCTGACTTCTGTTCCACCTCACACAGCAGCACCCTGACTTGACAGCAGTTGAACTGGCCCCGGGGCTGGATTTGACCCTCAGCAGTTTACAGACACAGATCTACCAGAACTGAACTTTTCTTCCTGTTCAGGAAGAATTGATTTGGTTTAAGAATAGGATCCAGAACCAAAAAAGGTCTGGGTAATTTGTTATCACGTACCTTCCGGTCCCAAACTTCAGGTGAGCAGTTCAGTTTATGCAAAGCCTGCAAACCAGTGCTGGTCTGAAGCCACTTTTAGATAAAGAAAGGGGAAAAAAAATCCACCCAAACCCTGAACCCCAAAGCTCCCTCAAACCTACCCTTAACGTAGCACTTTAAAACATTTTAAAGCAGAAGTGCTTGAACCAGGTGTAGCATTTGGAGCCCAGAAGCCGTTAACTCGATGCAATCCCAAACTCCAGAACGTCACTGTGTTGCATCCTCTCAGATCTAGCCATGTTGAGACTATTATGTTGCAAGATAATCAACAGAAATTAATTCCTTAGGGTTCTGCTACCCTAATGACCAAATCAAATGGAAGTGGTTGAGGCGCCATCCCTGGAGGTGTTCAAAAGACGGGTTGACATGGTCCTCAAGAATATGGTTTAGTGATTTTTTTCAGTGCTTATTTCTTATTTATTTCTTGTCAGAGTTAGGGGGACGGTTGGACTAGATGATCTTTAAGGTCCCTTCCAACCTAGATGATTTTCTGATTCTATGCCTAGGCTTTCCCTTCCCACCCCAACTGTAGGGTTATTTCTTCCCCAGTACTGTGTTTCCCCTCAGTTCCTGCTCAGCTGCTGCCATCAGAGACAGGCCCACAGCCGTGCCAGGTCAGTTTCTTTCCAAGTCCAGTATCAAGAATCATAGAATCATAGAATTTCGCAGGCCGGAAGGGACCTCCAAGGGTCATCTAGTCTGACCTCCCCGCAGTCAGCAGGGACACCCCCAACTAGACCAGGTTGCCCAGGGCCTCGTCGAGCCTCTCCTTGAATATCTCCAGGGATGG